AGCGATGGAACAGTTACTTTAAGAAATTAAAAGGCCACAAGTATATGTTGATGGACTATGTAGATCCATCTGCACCCACAGGCTGGTGGTAATTCAGAGAATGGTGCCAACCACAAGGTTGGGTCACACGTTCTGGCCCCATGTTGTTTTTTTCACCCTAAACATTTTCTCATGCCTTGGTTAAGCTCATTGTCTAGCACATTTTACTCATATAATGTTAATGATAGATAAGTTAGATAAGATAAGACGTAAGTCTAGTTTATAAGTTCAGTAATAGTTTTATAAGTTTTGGAAAGTTAATAGCCCACAGCCATGAACAGATTCAAGATGTACCCAGAATTGTGGGTTTGTCATTTTGCTTTGTCATTATCTCATGTAATCTGCAATATAGTATAAAATAAAGAAGGCCACCTCATTATGTGGGGCATATCTTCATCTTGTGTGAGAGTGTCTCCTTCATCTCGCCGACACCACCTCTCCCTCCAGAGACCCACAGGTGAGGCTGGACCTCAGCAGGGAGCTCTGGTGGCATAGTACCTAAGGCATTTGACTGCTAGCCAGAAGGCTGGTGGTTCAAACCCACCAGCCACTCCTCAGAAGGAAGGTTGGGCAATCTAACTCCATAGTGATGCTGCCTCAGAAACCCAAGGAGGGGTCGCTATGAGTCGGATCTGACTTGAGGGCAGCATGTTGCGTTTTGTTTGTTATTTATTTTCTTAGGAATATTTAATGAACATGCCTTCTATTTAGAATAAAAGAGAAAAGAAAAATTTATATTATAAATATTAATATCATCACACATACCATAACTACCATGACAAATTCATGAAAACAAATCTTGGTTCTGATATTCATGTCACATCACTGTTTGCCTGGTCATATTCTTGAGGAGAATTTCTTGGTGACAGTTGACTGAGTAGTTTGAGGTGGTTTCTCAAAGTAACCACTGCCTTTATAAGCTAGTTATCATTTCCATGAAGTCTGAAATAGACGCACACACTCCACTCATTTGCCTGGAGGGCCTCTGGTTGCCTGTGTCCAAATGTCCAATCACCAACTAGCCCTTTCTTATCTGAGAATGAAATATAACAACAGAGAACCCTGAGTCCAAAGCACTCTCAGCACAGTTAGAAAATGCCCTTGCTACAAGCAATCCTAACTCAGAGACAGATTCTCAGTGCCCCTGCCTCTATTATTTTGCAAAACAGTGTTTGAATACCAAGTACTCTAGCCAACTGAATTATAGCTGCACCAGTAATACAATCATATCCTATCAGATTGGCTTTGGAGAGCACTTTATTGATGTAAGGCTAGGCTCTTTTTTTGTATTCAGATATTGAGATGGACTGTTAGCCATGCCCAAAGGCTTGGCATGATCTTCTTATTACTAAATTCTCACTTCAGAGTTAAATAATTCCATAGAACACAACTGCCTAGGAAACCCAAGGAGGGGTCTCAGATCTGACTTGATGGCACATAACAACAACCTAGACCGCAAGCAATTATTTTTTTCCAATTCTGTATTACATTCCAGTTACCTTAACTCTTCTATGAGTCTTGTCTATAAGGACTAGATTGATCAAGAATCCCATCCTACCTTAATTTTTCTTCCTATGTTTTTCTCTGTCTCTCCTCACCAACCCATCTGTCACTGATCCTGAAAGATGACATATGTATCCATGACAATAACAAAGTATGATTATTATTACTCCAGGGGAGCTCTGGTAGCATAGTGCCTAGGGCACTTGACTGCTAACCAGAAGGCTGGCAGTTCAAACCCACCAGCCACTCCTCGGAAGGAAGGTTGGGCAATCCACTTCCGTAGTGATACCGCCTCAGAAACCCAAGGAAGGGTCACTATGAGTCCTGTCTGACTCCACAGCACATAACAACAACAATAATAACAACAACAAGCTTTTTCCATAATCCTCAAAATCTTAAACTTAGATGAACCATGAATTACTCATCTTAGATGAATCCAATAATTATGGATTATTTTTCCATAATCCTAAAAATCTTAAGCTTAGCTGAACCATGTTTAGTATTTCACTTTTCTTTGTTAGAGGCAGATCTTAGTCCTAAAATGGAGGTAAAAAAGTTTCTCTTCTTTTTTTCTGGGCCAGAATCCAGGCATTTTAACATTTCAGTAGAAAAAAGAAAAAAAGTTACCTTCAAAGAAAAGCAAGCCAAGGGAAAAGAGAGGAAAGACAGTTTCTACTTAAGGTCAAAAAAAGGGCTTACCTTAAAATGAGTTACAAGAATGTGACTAAGGTGTTTTGTTTGTTTGTTTGTTTTAAGGCACTTGTCTGAAAGAGGAGCAGAAACATAAAAATGCCTTTTCACTTAGTTTCTACACAATGGCAGCTCTTATAATTGGGAAATATTTAAACCAAATCCACTGCCCTCAAGTCCATTCTGACTCATAGCAACCCTAGAGGACAAAGTAGAACTAAAGTAGAACTGCCCATTTTGTTGTTGTTGTTATGTGCCCTCCAGTCCGACCGACTCATAGCGACCCCTTCTTGGGTTTCTGAGGCAGTATCTCTGCGGAAGTAGATTGCTCCATCTTCCTTCCAAGGAGTGGCTGGTGGGTTTGAACCGCCAGCCTCCTGGTTAGCAGTCAAGTACCCATGTTGTTGTTGTTGTTATGTGCCCTCCAGTTTGACCCAACTCATAGCGACCCCTCCTCCTTGGGTTTCTGAGGCAGTATCACTACGGAAGTAGATTGCCCCATCTTTCTTCCGAGGAGTGGCTGGTGGGTTTGAACTGCCAGCCTTCTGGTTAGCAGTCAAGTGCCTTAGGCACTATGCTACCAGAGCTTCCCCAAGTGCCCATAGGGTTTCCAAAGTTGCAATCTTTATGGAAGCAGACTGCAGCATCTTTCTCCCAGCGAGGGGCTGGTAGGTTCCAACTGCCAACCTTTCAGTTAACAGCTGAGCCCTTTAACCACTGTGCCACCAGTTCTGTTTTTGTTTTTTTTTTTAACTGAAAAAACAAGAACAAAAACAAAAAAAAACCTCACTTCCGTCAAATGATCGGGATCATGACCGTCATTTGGTTTCTGAGGTGGTATGTCTGTTATTGTTATGTGCTGTCCAGTTGGACCCGACTCATAGCAACCCCTTTTTGGGTTTCCGAGGCCGTATCACTATGGAAGTAGATTGCCCCATTTTCCTTCCCGGGAGCAGCTGATGGGATTGAACCACCAGCCTTGGGTGTGGCCCTGAGGCCATCCCCTAGGGCCTACGGTATGTCTATAGAAGTAGATTGCCCAACCTTCCTTCCCAGGAGTGGCTGATGTGTGTGAATTGCCAACCTTCTGGTTAGCAGTCAAATGCCTTAGGCACTACACCTTCGCATTGATGTATTCATTGAAACTAAGCCCTTGAGGCATTATAAATCATTATTATTTAATGTTACAATAGGAGGCTTCCTCTGTGAACCATTATTTAAATTGACTGAAGACCATACTCTCTAGACCACGAAATACCTTTATTATTTTCCATATGATTTCATGCTCAATTATGTTATCCCATCATTTAGTGGATGAGAGGCACATATATCATGAGCCTTTTATTTGATTTATGGACATTTTTTGGAAACCTAGATTCCAAATACTTCCTTTATCTTTGTAAATAGCTCCCTCTCTCTGGCACCTGCAATTCCTTGATAGTTCCTCAGAAGAGTTATTTACAGAGTGAAAAACTCCAGATAAATGAATGCTATTTTGCAAGAGATCTCAGGCTCGGTTTCTCTGGCAAGCTAGCTTGGAAGCTATAGGACATCTCCTTTATTTTAGTCTAAGCCAAGGACTATCTTTCTTATTGTTTCCTATTTCTCTGGTATCACAAAAGAATAAGGAAAATTAATCTAACAGAGGTGAACAAATTATTTTCTATATCTAAATCATAAATGTTCAAATCTGCCTAACTCCGGCCTCTTTTGGAGCTAGAAATCTTGAGCAAACATAATTCCAGACATGTCTTACCATGCCATTGTGTGAGAGAAAGTTAAATTCCCAGGAATGGAAGATAAAGACCAAATCATGCTCCCTGCACAATGGAAAGAAAAAAAAAAAAAAAGGTCTGTGGCTCAGATATTTCACATTATTTCTCTCAGGGAGAACTGAGAATTGAGTGTGGACAAATAGAGGAAGCAGAGATGTTCTAGATGTCAACACCTACCAGTTTTCCTGGATCATATTTGCTCACATCTTTTATGACAAGCTCTGAGAGAGCATTGTTATTTCATTATGTTAATTTATAACAGCTCATGAGTGTTTGAGGATGACAATGGTTGTGAAAGCAAAGACAGCAATAGTAACTTTGAGAGTTATGCCAATTAGACAGAGAAACATTATTTGAAGTGGTTGTATGCAAATACACAACCTAGACAAACTAGGACTGAATCTGATCTGGAGCACATATAATCTCTGGACAATTTAATTAACTCCATGTACTTCAGTGTTGTTATGGATATTCAATAAGTTAATGTATACAAACAATTTAGAAAAGAATCTGAGACATTTAAACACTCAATGCATTAATTTTTAATATACTGGTGATATTTATTAAGGCAGAAAATGATTCTTAGCTTAGATTAAATTTCATCTGTAAAGCCTTGTCTAATCATTCAATTTCTTCCAATATTTATCTTTCTGTGGGTGTCAGTGTTGTTTACTGAATGGACTCCTTATTTGGAGGTTTTTTGTTTTCTATGTTTTGCAGCACCATTTTCTGGCATTTTGCTTTTCCCTCAGTACACACATATCTATATTATAGATGATCGTGATGATGATATTGATAATGATGATGCCAGTGACAATAGCCTATGGCTATAATAATCAGCCACCCTAAAGCCAATTATGAAAGTCATGTCTTTTTATTATTATTATTATTATTGTCATTTGGGTGAAAATTTACAGAGCAAATTCACTTTCCATACAGCAATTGACATATACTTTGTCTCATGACATTGACCACAATTCACCACAATGAAAGTCATATCTTGATGCGGCGAAACATGCGGACAATGGCACGACGAATCTCCTTTGTCTTGGCGCTATAAATGAGAGGGTTGAGCACAGGAGGCACAAACAGGTAGACATTGGACAGGAGGACATGTATATAGCGTGGGGCATGCTTCCCAAAGCGGTGCACAGTGGAGACCCCAATCATTGGCACATAAAATGCAAGTACAGCCAAAATATGTGACACACATGTGTTGAGAGCTTTGAGACATTCTTCACGGGAAGCAATGACCATAACAGAGTGCAGAATGAGCATGTAGGAGAGGCAAATAAAAAGCAGGTCCATGCCAAAAGTGGATACAAGGACAAAGAGCCCATAGATGCTGTTGACAGTGATGTCAGCACAGGCCAGTTTCATCATGTCTGGATGCAAGCAGTAGGAATGGGAAAGAACATTGGATCTGCAGATAGGCAGCCTTTTGATGAGGAAAGGAAGAGGGAAGAGGGTGATAAAGCTCCGGGCAGTCACAGCGAAACCCAACCCAGCAATTATTTCATTGGTGAGCACAGTGGCATAGCGCAAGGGATTACAAATGGCCACATAGCGGTCAAAGCTCATGGCCAGGAGAATACCTGACTCCATCATGGAGAAGGAGTGAATGAGGAACATCTGGATTAGGCAAGCATCAAAAGCAATGCTGCGAGCATCGAGACAGAAGGTTCTGAGTACAGTGGGCAGTGTAGCCAGTGACATAGCCACATCGCTAAAGGACAGCATAGATAGGAAATAGTACATTGGCTCATGGAGGCTAGGCTCCACTCGCACAGCCTGCAGTATCACTGTGTTGCCTACAAGGGCCACAACATACATCACACAGAGGGGCCCTGCCAGCCAAGAGTGAGAGCTTTCCAGACCAGGGATGCCAGTCAGGAGGAAGGAAGCAGGGTAAGTGACATTGAACAATCCCATAGCTGGAGAAAGCCAGGGCACTTTTCCAAGTCAGACTGTCTGACTTAGCTTGGAGACTTCTGGAGTTGAACTTGGAGATTTCTGAAACTTGGAGAATTCTGAATCTTGTGCTTACTGGAGGAGAAGAGACCAGGGATTAAGAGACACAGCAGATGACACCTACATAATTGGAAACTGATACATCCACGAACTTACTGGTTTTAAGAAAATACAGACAAAGTTCTTTTCTTCATATTTTATTATCCACAGACTGGACGAAGATTTCCCTCTATCTTATGAAAGACAGAAGACATTGACAAACATTTCCAAACTATCAATCAGTTAAAGGAAAAATATATAAACTATATAATCCATATTTTAAAATGTATTTTAGAAGGATTATTTGATCATGTTAATTATAATTTATATCTACTTATTACACAAGGAACAAGAAATTGGAGTAATAAATAACTCTCGATATGAAATTTAAGTATTTCCTGGAAACACTGTTAAATTCAGATGTCACTTATTAATGGGACTGTTCCCCAGAGCTAGTTTGAACTATGATGTATGTTTGGTCAGGGAGAGGGAGATGTAGTGGAAGTGGGATGTGAAGATAACTGACAGTCGTGGACATCAATATGTCATTGCTGGAGTTGTGAAAAAATCCAACAAATACACCATATGTTTGTGCAAACACACAAGGCTACTTATATTTTTTTGAAAAATTATGAATTCTTCCCCAAATATTCTATCTGGGCCCCAAATATAAACTTTCACACTGTTACACAGACATCTATACTCACAAAATTCCCATTATTCACATAAATTTATGCCCCTTCACAATAGCCTTTGATGCTTTACAAACACTCACCCAGACTCTCCCTTTCTTTATCACAATCTTACATCTTGTACACATACATTCACATTCTCTTTCTTGAACTTATATATGAATACACATGTATACTATCATGTTCATATTCTCAGTCCATATTGATGTATATGCATCATTTACAAATGGTTACACAAACAGGTTTACATACCAATTTGTTCATTCATATAAAATATACTCATAGACTCCTACATATATACTCATAAATTTCTACATACCTACATATATTGTCCAACTCACCCACGTTGGCACTTCTTTTATCCTCTTGCACACACACGTGTTCACAGTGTTTCTTAGATTGACATTCGTACATTACTCGGTTCCTAGAACCTAACTCATAGCCATTTCTCAGTGAGCAAGATTATATTGTCTATCCCCTATCAGTTGGATGTTTTTGAGTTCTTTCATGTTCATTATCTCATGGTGGATGAAAATCGAGAAGGCAAAATGACTCCAGATTTTCACCTGCCAGACATATTTCAGGCTCATAAGGTATTCTCCTTTGAAAGAGGGATTCCAGGAGTACAACACTATTTTCCCTTTCTCTTTCCTCTCCTTTTAACACAGCAAAGCCAGAGCTTGCTTTCAGAGTCCTTTCTTCTGGGAATGGAAAAGGAAGGAGACATGAGAGTCCTAGGTATTGGAAGGCCATAGAGATGCTGGAATGGTGTGCAATGCAGCATTACCTCTCTAGGAAGAAGTTTTAGATTTCTTTGGGCAGTACAGCACTCAGAACTTCCTGTGGTTCCAAGCAGTCTGTGGCTACCTCTCTGTATTTATATTGATTATATACCATCTGATCTTAGAGCTAGATCTGTGCAAACCTGCTTCCCTTCTAGAGCTATGATTCCTTGGGATTCAGAACTGACCAAACAGACTGACTGTAGTCCCATTGTTCACACAGAATCTCATAGCAGGTGATCAAAAGCTTGAAAATAGAACTGAGCTAAAGTAAAGGGAAGAGAAAGAGAATGGAGAAGAAAACAGGTGTCAATGAAAGCAAGGTTCTGTCCCAGGCAGGGCCAAAGCTGTTCTGGATCTGAAAATTTTAATTTTAGTACTTGTTGAAAGGAGGTTGACAGATGAGGATTGGAAGTCTACTTCCCATATCCAGACAACTGACACTGTGGATTTTCCGAATACATATGAAGCAATGAATACAAAGAGAAAAAACTGATACTTATTGAACATCTACTCTCTGTCAGGCACTCTGCAAGAAACTTTACATTCATTTATTCATCTAATCCTTAACGGATGTAGAAAGTGAGCTTAGCTTGCCCATAGCAAGTAGGTGATGAAACTTCAATTTTAATAAAGATCTGTAAGAGTCTTTACCCTCTTACTGAGATCTTTAAGACATCACTAAGGCATGGTGTGGGATGGAGAGGTAGGTGAAAAGGAAAATAGATCTATGTACTTCTGGATGAAGAATTCTTAAAAAAAGAAACTGAGTGGTTAAAGGCAGATTTCTGTAGATATAATGATACAACAAGTACCTGTCTCCAAGGCTGGACTCAATTTCTTCTGTCTCTGGAATTCAGAGCCTTTCCTTTGGCTGAAACCATTTATCAATGATTGAAAATGATTAGTATTCACATTTCATCTACATATTATGAGTAGATAATTTCTTCTGCTCTTCTTATCTCTTGGGTACTTTTACATATTTTATCATCTCAAAATTCAAAAAGCAAGAGCAAAATTAGACCATGCATTAGCCATTAAGTTTGAGTCATGGGATTTGTTGTGACAACTTTGCTCCCATATTTCTGAACACTTCTTATGTCCTGATACTTGTTTCTCTTCTGGAATTTGAAGCAATTTTAAAACCTCATAGAAATATTGATCATTGGAGATTGATGTCCAAAGGAGATCAACTCTGGTAAGCAAGTGATCTAGAGAAGTTTAGTGAATTCCAAGTGTTACACAATCAGGAAGTGGTAGTACCAGAAAAACAATCCTAAATTCAATTCCACCTGCTCTATTCACTCTAGTAAGATGCTGCTATCAGATATCCCCTAATAATACCCCCCACAACTTCACCTTACCCTATCCTTTGCCCAGTTAACCCTTTCTTGGAGGAGGCTTCAGGTTAGGCAGGTGGTTTACTTCTGCAGGGTTTTGGAACTCAACATCGGACAGACAGACAACAGACATCCACAGAACACACCCTTCTCTGTATCTGCTCAAGTGAATTCATGCCTCGCCACTTTTGTGTCTCACTCTAAACCCAGGGGATAGAGAGAAGAAGTGACACTAACTTTGTGTCTAAAAATTCTTCCAGGAGGTTTTAGTCTCCAGAGGTCCTGAATGACTAATTGAGAATAAAACTTATGTTCTTTTAATTGAAAAATTGCTCAGCAATCCTCCAGGATGATTTTCTACCCAGTGAAACATGTCAGCAGTGATGGATGGGAAGGCATTTTAAGAGAGAAACTCATTATCCTCAGGTCCCAGCTCTATGTATTATATTGACCAAGCCAACAAGGAAGGTATAATCAGAATATAACATTCTTGTTGCTCTTTTGGTCCACTTGAATGTATTGAGTGGGGCTAGTTCTTTATTTATACTTGGATAAAAACTCATTTCTCTAACTTTACTGGCTATGTTCTTATAATAAAACATCCCTGTAGAGTTATAAGAATGTCCAGCCTCATGGAATAGTCAAACCTATTAGCACTCAGAGTTACAGCCAATTTTCCTCTCACACACCTCATTTACTAACCATGGCTTCTGACTCCTACTTCAGGGAGGAGAGAGATAGAAAAAAGGAGTATTCATAATTCATTGGTGCTGCCTTCAGCTACCATAGTATCTTCTGGGCCTATCAGACATTTAAAGACTTAAATATCTAAACTTACTACATATTTAAAGTTCTTTCATGACTCTCTTTTACATTATTCAGGAAACACTTTTCCAATCTCTCAACTGTTTTCCCCTTAATTTAAACTAATATACCATTCTTCTGGAGATCCTGGATGGTGAAAACAGTTAATGCATCCAGCTGCCAACTGAATAGTTGGAGGTTCGATTCCACCAAGAGGCTCCTCAGAAGGAAGCCCTAGTGATCTACTTCTGAAGAATCAGCCACTGAAAACCTTATGGATCACACTTCTACTCTGACACACTTAAGGATGTCATGAGTCTGAGTTGACTCAATGGTAACTGGTAAGCTTTTATTTTGTATGGTTACTGTGACTCCATCAACTTCCCCATCCCCCCTTGTAGACCTATACACCCTTTTGGACTGGATTTAAAACAACCCCACGCCAACCTCTCTACACTATGTAGCCTGAAATGATCATACTTTCTCTATTCTAATAAATACATAAATTCTAATGAATACTCTATTCTAATGCAATTAATAGCCTCTCATTTAATCTTGCTTTCAGAACACCAAAGGGAACTTCTCTATTCTGTTTAAATTTCCCAGTATGAGTAAGGAACCAGTCCACTGTGTTCCACTCTCCTCACATTTTAGGGGACAAATATTTCCTAAGTAGAATCCTTGAAGTCCCTCTCTCTTAACTTAAAGTAAAGTGGGATTCACCTCCCTCTCTCTCTCAGGAATGGTTGTTGTTGTTGTTAGGTGCCTTCAAGTCATCTTCGACTCATAGTGACCCTATGCACAGCAGAATGAAACACTGCCCAGTCCTGCACCAGCTCCACGATCCCTGTTATACTTGAGCCCATCGCTGCAGCCAATGTGTCAATCCATCTCATTGAAGGCCTTCCCCTCTTTCATCAACCCTCCACCTTACCAAACATGACATCCTTCTCCAGGGAATAATCCCTTCTGATAACATGACCAAAGTAAGTGAGATGAAGTCTGGCCATTCTCTCTTCCAAGAGGCATTCTGGCTGCACTTCCTCCAGGACAGATTTGTTAGTTCTTTTAGCAGTTCATGGTACTTTCAGCATTCTTCACCAGCACCACAACTTAAAATTCTTCTTTGGTCTCCCTTATTCATTGTCCAGCTCTCACATGCATATGATGTGGTTGAAAATATCATAGCTTGTGTCAGATGCATCCTAGTACTCAAGGAGACATCTTTGCTCTTCAGCACGTGAAAGAGGTCTTTTGCAGCCAACTTGCCCAGCGCTATGCATCTTCTGATGTCCTGACTGCTG